AATAAAGAAAATCTTTAAAAAAAAAAAAAAAAAATCTCCCAACCAACAGAAATCCAGGGCCGGATGGCTTCCCAAACATTTAAAGAAGAGTTAATACCCATTCTTCTCAAACTGTTCCAAAAAATAGAAATGGAAAGAAAACTTCCAAATAGCCCATTGTAGGGCTCAATCTCATGACCCTGAGATTGGACTTGAGCCAAAACCAAGAGTTGGACATTTTAACTGACTGTGCCACCCAGGTGCCCTAAAATGCAAAGTTCAACAATTTTGAAATTTTTGCTGTCTTACCAACCCAAACTAGTACTAATAGATTAACTAAACTTTTGATAATCCATTTCTCTAAAAAACTATCATAAAAGACTTAGAATTAAGGGGCACCTCGGTGGCTCAGTTGGTTAAGCATCTACCTCAGGTCATGACCCCAGGGTCCTGGGATCGAGCCCCGCACTGGGCTCCCTACTCAGCGGGGAGCCTGCTTCTTCTGCCCCTTCCCCACTCATACTTGTGCTCCCTCTCTCTCTCTGAAATAAATAAATAAAATCTTAAAAAAAAAGACTTAGAATTAAAAATTTCAATTTTATACACTCACCTAATTGATTACCTCCTAGTTTTACTGGTTCTGTCTCTAAACTATTTAATTTGCCACTTTCTTGTTTGTCATTACAAGCAAGAAGACTCTTAGATAACTGATTTGCAGCCAGGTTTGCCTGAAGCTTTTGAATTTCTGCCTCCTTTATTGCAAGCTTAATCCTGGAACAAAATAAAATACATCAAAAATTATTAGAAAGATCCTATATAAATATATCTCATACCATTTTTACCTTTCAAGTTAGCAAAAAATTTAATGTAGATTGATTCAGCTACTTTAAAAACTTGATAGTACCTAGTAAAACTAAAAATGTACACACACCATGACCCAGAAATTTCACTTTTAGGAATATACACTGGAGAAACTGGCATATTGTAAAAGGAAACATGTAAAGGTATGTACTTTGCAGCACTGTTTGTAATAGAAGAAAACTAGAAACAAGGTAGCTATCAATAAATAGTGATACAGTTATAGGATAGACTCCTATATAGCTATTAAAACTAACCATACTAATCCACCCATTGATTAGTCACTCTAACTACCTACCTCAACATGTATGAATTTAAAAAATAATGCTGAGTGAAAAAGCAAAATTACAAACAATATAAACACACAGTATATTTTCCATGTGTGGATGTAAACATATACAAAATGGATTGAAGAATATACATCCAATTCAGGATGGTGGATACTTAGGAGAATGAAACTAGTGGAAAGAACATCCCATAATGTTTTTAGTTTTTACTTAAAAACATTTGAAAAAAATATCACAGAATGTTAAGAATAATCAATTCTTAGTTATGGAAACACAGATATTTGTTATAGTACTTGCAGAACTTTTCTGTACATTTTTCATCTTCTCAAAGATTTTAATTACCAATTAAAAAAAAACAACATTGTATTTGCTACAACTTCAGCATCTGAAAACCATACCTCAATTCTGAAATCACCATTTTATTTGCCTCACAGCAGCCAATGTAATTGTCTTCCTTGTTTGACAAACTACTCATCTGGTGTTTAGAAAGAGATGATTTAAAACCAAACATTTCTCTTTTTAACTGCAAATTTAAAAACAAACATATATAAACTTACAACATCTATGATGCAATTGTTTCATTATTCAGAACTCCAATTTTTAAAAATTGTGTGAATAAATAGAAATAACCTAGTGTCCATCAATAGGATAAATGTATAAATACATTATGAAACATTAAGGTAACAGGAAAACCACAAGAGTTAAAATAAACCTGAATTATATAAATCATTTGGAGACATCATATAACACTACATTAAGTGAAAAACAACAGAGGCACATGTAGTATTTTCCAAAATATATTAGTTATATATGTTTTTCTAGAGCATGCATATGTGGCAACATTTAAAATACAGACAAGAAGGATACACATGAGTTTCGGAATAGTGCCTACCTCTGTGGAGAGATGGAAAGGATTGGGATCTAACACAGTATATAAAGAGGCTTATTTATCTGTAAAACTTTATTCTAAAAAAATATGAAGTGGATATCACAATATGTTACTCAGATATAGCAAATGGTGTGCTGCATTGGTCTGTTTTTCTATATGTTTGAACAATAGAGAATTTTTTAAATTAGTTATGAAAAGGGGCAAGATAAGCACTTAATGACTACTATCTTCAAACTATAACCAAATCAAGCTTTCTAGAAATGAAAAAAATTCCCATTTCCAAACCACGTTATTCTTAGCATTGCACGAAACACAGGATCAAACATATTACCACACCAACTTCAGAATCACATACAAAGTAATTCTTGATATTGAGTCAAATGAGAATATCAGTTTAAAATGAATGCTATCGGGGCGCCTGGGTGGCTTAGTCGGTTAAGCATCTGCCTTTGGCTCAGGTCATGATCCCAGGATTCTGGGATGGAGCCCTGCATGGGCTCCCTGCTCAGCAGGGAGCCTGCTTGTTCCTCTCCCTCTGTTCCTCCCCCCACTTACTCTCTTTCAAATAAATAAAATCTTTAAAAAATTTTTTTAAAAATGAATGCTATCTGCATCTAATTACTATCAAATTTCAAAAGTAAACAGAACATTTAAAACCTAAGCAAATAATCAGGATCCTAGGAAAGTAGATATAGCAGAGGGCTGGGAATCAAGAATCATACATTCTAGTTTTAATTCTGCTGCTAGCTAATTATAAAAGTTACTTATTTCCTTGGCACTACATTTCTTTGTCAATAAAATGATGGTGTTGAATCAGATGATTTCTAAGTTCCCTTTCAGCTTAATTCCATGACAGTTTAAAATTGGTTAAGAGTCTACCACCCATTCAAATATATTTGAAACCAGCCATGACGTATTTATATACACTCTTCTCCTGATCTCACCTTTATTTTACACCTGTCAATTATGGACTTCTGATACAGTTATACTTACTTTCTTCCTAATCTCACTTATATATGGTCATATGTATAACTGAAAGAGAAATGGTGGCCAGCTGCTATCATAAAAACATTTTAATGTTCTGTGCATTCTAATAAGTACATGAAAATTTGCACATTATTATTCATTAGAAAAATGCAAATTAAAACCACAATGTGATACCACTTTATACCCACTAAGATGGCTAAAACCTGAAAGACAGATAATAAAAAATGTTAGCTAGGATGCAGAAAAACAGGAACCCTCGTACATTCCTCATGAAAACAAAAAATGGTATAGCCACTTTGGAAAACAGTTTAACATAACTTTACCATATGACCTAGAAATTCTACTCCTAGGTATCTATCTACTCAAGAGAAATGAAAGTATGTCCACACAAAGAGTTGTATGCAAATTTTCACAGCAGCATTGTTCTTAATAGTCCAGAAGTGGAAGCAGTCCAAATGTCCATCTAATGGTGAATAGATAAATAAAATGTGGTATATCCATACAATGGACTAATATTCAACAATAAAAAGAAATGAAGTACTGATATATGTCAGAATGAATGATCCCCCCAAATTTTTAGAATGCAAGAGACCATACATTGTATAATTTTATTTATATGAAATGCTCATAAAAGACAAATCTCTAGAGACAGAAATCAGATTAGTGGTTTCCTAGGGGTGGGTGTGGGTACAGGGACTAATTATAAATAGGCACAAGGGATCTTTTGGGGATGATAAAAATGTTTGAAAACTAGATTGTGGTATTGTTCCAAAACTTGTAAGTTTACTAAAAATAACTGAACAGTACAATTAAAATGAATGAATTCTATGGTATGTCAATGTTACTTGAAGAAAGCTATTTGTAGAAACAAGAGAGGCCGTGCGTGCAGAGCGAGCACCTGTAGCCTCCCCATCCCTCCGGCAACGCTCGACCCCGGGATCCCCCCTGGCTTGCCTGCCCGCCATGGCCAACAAGGAAGCAGCCTTTGATGATGCAGTAGAACGTGTGAGCAACGAAGAGTACAAAATATGGAAAAGAACACCCCTTTTCTTTATGATTTGGTGACCCATGCTCTGGAGTGGCCTAGCCTAACTGCACAGTGGCTTCCAGATGTAACCAGACCAGAAGGGAAAGACTTCAGCATTCTTCGACTTGTCCTGGGAACACACACGTCAGATGAACAAAACCATCTTGTGATAGCCAGTGTGCAGCTCCCTAACGATGATGCTCAGTTTGATGCTTCACAATACAACAGTGAGAAAGGAGAATTTGGAGGTTTTGGCTCAGTTAGTGGAAAAATTGAAATGGAAATCAAGATCAACCATGGAAGAAGTAAACCGGGCACGTTATATGCCCCAGAACCCTTGCATTATTGCAACAAAGACTCCATCCAGTGATGTTCTTATTTTTGACTATACAAAACATCCTTCCAAACCAGACCCTTCTGGAGAGTGCAACCCAGACTTGCATCTGTGTGGACATCAGAAGGAAGGTTATGTACTTTCTTGGAACCCAAATCTCAGTGGGCACTTACTTAGTGCTTCAGACGACCATACCATCTGCCTCTGGGACATCAGTGCTGTTCCAAAAGAAGGAAAAGTGGTGGATGCGAAGACCATCTTTACAGGACATAGAGCGGTAGTAGAAGATGTTTCCTGGCATCTGCTCCATGAGTCTCTGTTTGGGTCAGTTGCTGATGATCAGAAACTTATGATCTGGGATACTCGTTCAAACAATACTTCCAAACCAAGCCACTCAGTTGATGCTCACACTGCTGAAGTGAACTGCCTATCTTTCAATCCTTATAGTGAGTTCATTCTGGCCACAGGATAGCCGACAAGATTGTTGCCTTGTGGGATCTGAGAAATCTGAAACTTAAGTTGCATTCCTTTGAATCACATAAGGATGAAATATTCCAGGTTCAGTGGTCGCCTCACAATGAGACTATTTTGGCTTCCAGTGGTACTGACTGCAGACTGAATGTCTGGGATTTAAGTAAAATTGGAGAGGAACAATCCCCAGAAGATGCAGAAGATGGGCCACCAGAATTGTTGTTTATTCATGGTGGTCACACTGCCAAGATATCTGATTTCTCTTGGAATCCCAATGAACCTTGGGTGATTTGTTCTCTATCAGAAGACAATATCACGCAAGTGTGGCAAATGGCGGAGAACATTTATAATGATGAAGATCCTGAAGGAAGCGTGGATCCAGAAGGACAAGGGTCCTAGATATACCTGCACTTCTTGTGATTTTAGACTCCCCCTTTTATTCCTCTCAACCCTGAGATTGATTTAACACTGGTTTTGAGACACAGACTTTGTTTGGCTATCCCTCTATGATAGGTACCATCAACAATGTTATTACCCTAAACAGAGGGTGTTTTCTAAATATTAACTGGGGGACTTGATTCAGTAAAGCCACAGACTTATATTTAAATTTTCTTTAGGAATTTTCTAGTAACAAAGGTCTAAGTAGCCACAGAAAGGAGAATATTATGTGTGGTTATTTTTCTTCTTAGGCTATATCCCCAAGTTTTTCAGACTCCTTTAAGTAAAGGCTAAAGGAAGGAAGGAGTAGAGCCAAGTGAGGTAGATGTCTGAGCCATGAGGTATAAATACCACAAGATGTCGTTTTTATTCAGGAAATGGGGGAGATTCAAGTCATATAAATTCCTGTTCTAAAATTTTCACACCTGACTTTCCAGGATGCACATTTTCCTATGTAGACCAGTCTCCTCTCAGTTTCTTCAGTTAAGTCAAAACTATGTGTTCCTCTTTCCCCCATATATTTTTGCTTGTTAGTGTATTTCTTGAGCTGTTTTCATATTTCTTTCCTTTCTGTGAAATGGTTTTTTAAAACTTGGGACCACCAAGTTGTAAAGATATATGTTTTTACCTGACAGTTATACCACAGGTAGACTGTCCAGTTGAGTTGAGAAGAGTGAATTGATAGCTTGTATTTGTTTTTAAAATTAAATTAATCCTGGATAAGAGTTGCTTTTTTTTTTTAGGAGTTAGTCTTTGACCACTAGTTTGGTACCATCTCTATTTTGGGTGACCTGTTTCACCAGCAGGCCTGTTACTTTCGATGACTAACTGTGTAAGTGCTTACAATGGAATAAATTGCTTTTCTACATTAAAAAAAAAAAAAAAGCTATTTGTAAAAAATCTTGTGTTGTTCTTACATATGGCACCTCAGAGACTAGGAAAGGGTGGAAGAGTAGACAGGTTAAGTGCAGAAAAACAAAAGGGATTAGACAGAAAAGAAATTCAAGATTGAAAGTACAGATATGTAAAAATAAATACCCACATACATACATACTAATAAAGCAAACACAAGATGATGACCTTTTAAAAAGCACTTCAGTAAAATTTTCTTTTTCACCCATACTTACTGGCAACTGGGACATAACTTTTTCCAAACTTCTCAGTTCTACCCTTGAACTTTCTATTTCTTGTTGACACAAATCCAGTCGCTCATTCTGTGCTACAACACGGACCTTTAACTCTCGGTTTTCATTCATTAGAGAAAATTTTTCTCTAAGTACTTCTTCTTTGTCCTCTAATTCACTCTCTAGCTTCAGAATACTTTGCCTAGACTCAGTTAGTTGTGCCATAACTTCTGAATTTTTCACTGCCATGATCCTTAATTTTTCTTTTCCATTGTTATTTTCTTCTTTTAACTGCCTATAAAGAAAAAAGCATAAAAATGAAAATAAAATATACATTCATTTTCAGTAGTTATATTTAGTTAAACGCACTTTTAAAGTATTTTAAAGCCTTAATTCTAGAACTGTAACACCTGCTCACATTTACTGAATGCCTACTTTCTGCACACCAGAAACTCACAACTTTATGTGGGCAGCACTATTATCATTCTCTGTTTATAGATAAGGAAACCAAGGTATAGAAGGGTTATGAAACTTTGCCAGTGTCTCACAGTAAGTAGGAGGGCAGGATAACTCCATTATCTTCAAAGCCTTCTGCTCCCTTTTGAAAAGTGTAAGACAGGAGATCTAACTCCAAAATCCTAATTCAACATATTGCAACATGAAGAAAGTTTTAGACTATATAAAGAAAAATCATGAACTATTAGCCACAACTCTAAAAAATAGTAATCAACCATTAACTGATTACTAGGCAGTATTATTTTCAAATATATACATATATAGCTATAAAAACATGTCAAACATTAGAACAATCTATAGAACTGTTGGTGAATGGATAAATGGATAAAAAAATGTGGTACATCCATACAGCAGAATAATATTCAACAATAAAAAATGAAATACTGATATACATCACAATGCATTCACAGTGTCCTTTTTCACATTTTTAATGTCTCTGAAATGAGAAGGCTGGACTAGGTGATTCACATGATTTGAAGAACACATATTTTACTAACCAGCTAATGTCACACTACAAGAACATTATGTGTGTGTTCATTTTCTCTAAATATATGCAAAGTAAATATGCTGATCATATTACTCTGTATTTACAAGTATATTAATATCAACATGTTCTATTGGTTAAAAACCCTAATGTTATACCTAGAAAACAATTTCAGTCATGAAACCTATCTTTCTATGTAATTTAAGGCCATAACTAAATACACAAAATATTCTATCTTAAAATGTTGCAGTTCTTTCTCCATTTCCACACAAAAATCCTTTTTCCACAACATGATACTGTACCTTAATTTCTCTTTCAGAATTTCAAGGTCACTTTTATATAGACCACACTTTTCCTGTAGCCTTTTATTTTCTTTTTCACAGCTAATTAGATTTTTCTCTAATATTTCTTCTTCAACTTGAACCTAAAACAATAATTTGTTTTAAGTGGACATACTACTGTGGTCATAAATTTAGGTGTTTCAAACTAAAAAGTAGTGATTTCAGAAATAAACAGGAGAGTAGAGTAAGTATTCCACATGTGTAAGTTCCTGATCTTGTAGTGAAAGGAGCAAAGTAAACTTCCTGGGCAGTGACATAGGATAGGGAGGGAGACTCTACCACCTGTCCAGAAATGGTTAAGAGCCTATGACGAGGGGCCACGGCACTACCATCTGAGAGCTAGTGTTCTGGCCTCACAGGGGCAAGGCAAGCGACTCAGGTAGTGATGCTGCATCAAGTTACTAAAGGCTAACTATACTGCAAACGTTCTAGAGAAATAATTTTTGAAATTTTAGCCACTGAATACTCCCACTGAAATCACAGTTCAAATCTAAAACAGATAAAAGTCAAGTGCCCAGGGGGCACCTGGGTGGCTCAGTCGGTTAAGCGTCTGCCTTCGGCTCAGGTGGTGATCCCAGAGTCCCGGCATCGAGTCCCGGCATCGAGTCCCGCATCAGGCTTCCTGCTCAGTGGGGAGCCTGCTTCTCCCTCTGCCCCTCCCTGCTGCTCATTCTCTCTCTCTCTCTCTCTCAGAGAAATAAATAAAATCTTTAAAAAAAAAAGATAAGCACCCAGGTTGGAGTGGTGGGAGAAGAGGGCTCAGTAGATCTGCCCCACTTTCTCTGTTACATCTACCTAATTATAGGGCTCTGCTGAGCATGGTTTGAAACTGATAATCCTAAGGAGAAGTGTAAAAAAATCATCTTACATTTTCCTCTCTTTCCTGTATAAAGTCCTCCCTCTCCCTAAGGATATTCCCCCCACTGAGTATTCTACCTCCCCCTACAGATTACCTTATTAAAAATCCCTTCTATGTGATTTCATTCCCACAGGGACCTTCTCCAAGGCTTTCAAAACTCTGATCTGATTAATTTACACTGAAGACCAGTACCTCATAGGATTCTGATTTTTAAGATTTTTCATTGAAAAATAGTTGACACACAATGTTACATTAGTTTCAGGTGTACAACACAGTGATTCAGCAACTCTATGCATTATGCTATGCTCACCACAAGTGCAGCTCCCATCTGACACCATGCAACACTATTACAATACCATTGACTCTATTCCCTATGCTGTGCCTTTCATCCCTGTGACTTATTCGTTCCCTAACTGGAAGCCTGTACCTCCTACGGGTACAGCCATTTTGCCCTCCCCCTGCTCCTTCCCTCTCTGTGAACCATCAGTTTGTTTTATTTATTGGTCTGATTTTGCTTTTTGTTCGTTTTTTAGATTCCACATATTAGTGAAATCATATGGTATTTGTCTTTCTTATTAAATTTTTATTTAAAAAAAATTTTTTTAAAGATTCTTCTTATTCATTTGAGAGAGAGGGAGTAAGAGAGAGCACAAGAGCGGGGCGAGGGACACAGGGAGAAGCAGACTCCCTGCAGAGTGGGGAGCCCGATGTGGGGCTTGATCCCAGGACCCTGAGATCATGACCTGAGCTGAAGGCAAACACTTAACCAAGTGAGCCACCCAGGCGCCCCTCTTATTAAATTTTTTTTTTAAATTTCATTTATTTGACACAGAGAGAGGCTGTGCGAGCACAAGTAGGCAGAGCGGCAGCCAGAGGGAGAGGGAGAAGCAGGCTCCCCGCTGGGCAAGGAGCCTTAAGTGGGACTCGATCCCAAGACCCTGGGATCATGATCCGAGCCAAAGGCAGACGCTTAACGACTGAGCCACCCAAGCAACCCTCTTACTAAATTTTTAATATTTCTTCTACCCTTCTACCTTTCTTTGAACAGAATCATTAACTCCCTCTGTTTCAATTATCTCAAGATGAAAGTCTCTCACATTAGTATCTATTGACCAGACCTCTCTTCTGAGCTCAACATCTGAATATTCAGCATGTGGCCTCCTCCAAACAGGTTTTATTATCCATGTGGTATTACTTGAAAATATTAAATGAATGTAATAAAGCCACTATACTACTATGCAGAATCTGTTCAAGGAATCTTCCTTCTGAGAAGCAGAAGACAGACCCTCCCAGGGTGGTAGGTCCAGGGAGACCAACTGAAGGCTATACAATCTACTCTGCCTTCATTTTCATCGACGTGATGGGAACAAATTTCAGCTCCAACCTCTGCTCACTCACCTCATCTTTCTCTGCATTTTTTTTCCTTTATCTATATATTGTTCTTCCCCTTGTCTCCATTCTTTTCCCACTTTGGATAAAAAAAAGTTTTTTGCTCATTATAAGAAGATTATGAACACCAGCCTTAACCAGTATTTATAAATTCTTTATTCCAACAATTTTTATGAGATCATAAAAATTACTCACTGCTTTAACTCTAAACAAACATATTCTATTTATGTCTATTTTTATATTTAGAATATAGACAGTAACACAAAACACTGAATTGGCACATCTGCTTCTTACCTTTTCCAGTTTTTCTGCCACTTTTTCTTTATAATGTTGGAAAGCTTTACTTAGCTCTTCAGCATTATATAGTGCTTCATTCCTTTGTCGTTCAGCTCTAAAATTTAAAAAGGGATGATTAATAAAAGTAAAGAATGCTCTGCATTTGACTAGTGAAACTCCAAAGTAACCTATATTTTATTAGAAGGAAAAATTAAGAGATGAGCAGTACTAAAAAAGAATAGTAGGCTTAAACTGCAAAATGAAGAAGAGAGACAAGAATTTCCTCACTATTACCAATATGAAAAATAAAATGTAAAATACATAAACTTTGAAACATATATACATTCCTATGTGTTGGCAATTTTTTTTCTTTGTCTGGAAAAGACAGATTAAGGGAAGTGGCCTAGGCTGTATAAATTTTCAAAGATCAGTTATTACAGAATCAGTCCACTGTCTAATATATTAAAAATACTCAGTAAATCCTGTGACCTTTGCAAAGGGCAAGTAAATTTTCAAAAAGGTATTTCAGAAGACATATCTAAAAATCTGAACAACAAAATCCAACCACTACAAAGCACTGCCTTAGTTAACCCTGACCTTTCCTCATACTTAGACATTGAACTGAGACTACTGGGCTGAAATGTAGTCAATATCATACCCACACCTAAAAATTTTTCTATTATTTAAATAAACCTCATCATATTCTTTCCAGTGTAAATGAAATTAGTGACTCTCTGCTTATCAAGGGTGAATTCTTCTTTTTTTTTAATATTTTATTTATTTGACAGAGAGCACAAGTAGGCAGAGCGGTAGGCAAAGGGAGAGGGAGAAGCAGGCTCTCTGCTGAGCAGGGAGCCCCAAGTGGGGCTTGATCCCAGGACCCTGAGATCATGACCTAAGTCGAAGGCAGCCGCTTAACCGACTGAGTCACCCAGGTGCCCCTCGTTATAGTTTTAATCTGCATTTTTTTTTTTAAAGATTTTATTTATTTATTTGAGAGAGAGAGAATGAGAGAGAGCACGAGGGAAGAGGATCAGAGGGAGAAGCAGATGCCCTGCCCAGCAGGGAGCCCGATGTGGGACTCGATCCCGGGACTCCAGGATCATGACCTGAGCTGAAGGCAGTCGCTTAACCAACTGAGCCACCCAGGCGCCCCTTAATCTGCATTTTTGATCAACTGAGGTTGAGCAAGTTTCTAAGTTTCAATGGCCATTTGGATTTCTCGTCCTTACCTGTTCAGATCCTTTGTCTTTATTACTAGATTCTCCCCTCCCTTTTCTTACTGATTTGTTAGAGTTTTTTATGAATTCTGGATACTAATCTTTGTGAATTAAATTATTTGCAAATATTTCCCCAAATATCTGTCTTGTCTTTCATTTTTAAAATGATGTGTTCTATAGAAGAGAAAGTTTTTATTTTAATGGATTTTAAATTTAGCCATCTTTTCCTATAGTATTTATGCTTTCTGGATCTCATTTATTTATTTTAATTCAATTAATTAACATATATCTGAATCTCATTTAAAAACATTCTTCCCCCTTCTATGAGACATCATGAAAACTATTCCTCTACACTTTCTCTAAAAGTTTTACTTTTCACAATTGGGTCTTTAACCCATCTGGAATAATTTTTTGTATACAGATATAGTATTGTTAGAAGGTAGAGGAGGGACAGTAAAGTATCCCCCAAACTGAGAAGGCACTTTGAGACCAGAAAATGAAGCACACCACTCCATACAGTTTACACAGTTTTATTCAGGGTAACTTAAGTGGGGGGGGGGGCCATATCCGTGGTCGTCAGCAAAAAACCGTCAGCAAAAAAACACATAGCACCATAGCTATTCTCTATAAAGTCCAGACTTTAGCCTATAGATTTTATAAAGCAGGGGGACACGTGGCAGGGAGGAGAGGGGGACATTGTAGTGAGATCAGAGGGTTTGCATGTACCTAACTGACAGCTAACCTTTAATTAGATCTTGTGGCCTACCTATGCATCAGAAAGGGGAAAGACTAAGTTATTTCTAACAGATTCCTGGGAGGCCAAAGCAAACCTCCCCCTATCCCTACCTTGATGGGCATTTCTAAGGTATGTATATTAATCTCAAGGGGCCCAGAACAAGTAGCCCTAAGAGAGGTAATCCAGTGAACATGAACAAGATGGAGAGCCAAAAACAGAGTCAGTATTGTCAGCACTCCTACAAGTACAAAGCAGGGATTTCATTTCATTTTTTTTTTTAAGATTTTATTCATTTGACAGAGAGAGATCGAGAACAGGAACACAAGCAGGGGGAGTGGGAGAGGGAGAAGGAGGCTTCCCACGGAGCGGGGAGCCCGATGCGGGGCTCGATCCCAGGACGCTGACCCGAGCCGAAGGCAGACGCTTAACAACTGAGCCACCCAGGTGCCCCTAATTTAATTTTTTTTAAATCAGTAATGAATTCTCCCAGCAACATTTTTTGAACTTTTTGTTTTTTAAATTTCAAATTGGTACCCCTTAATGCAGATTCACCAATTTTTGATATTTTGCTACAATTGCTTGTGTCTCTCACCTGAGATGTTTTTGTACTGAACTACATTCTAGAGAAATTAGTAACCTTCAGCCTTGAATACTTTATCATGTATCCTAAGAAAACAGACATTGCCTCATACAACCACAACTATCAAATTCAAGAAATCTAAAATTGTTACAATACTATTATCTAACATATAATTCATATGTAAGTTTTATCAGCTATTCTAATAATGTTCTTTATAGATCTTTTTTTTTTTCTTCTGATCCAGGATCATCACATACTGCTTTTATTTATTTATTTATTTATTTATTTATTTATTTATTTATTTCACATACTGCTTTTAGTTATCTTATATCTTTAGTTTCTTTAATCTGGAATATCTCAGCTTTTTTTTAAGTCTTTCATGACTGACTTTTTTTTTTACAATAATAGCTTGAATTTATTCAACATATATTACGTGCCACAGACAACTTTAGATGTTTTATATACCTAATCAAATGGTCACAACTCAGTTAATCGGACATTATCCTTATTTTATCTGTAACTAGCACCCAGAAAGATTAAACAGTATGCTCAAGGCATGCCCTCACACATACTAAGTAGTAAACACAATGTATGAATCTAAGAAGCAGGTGGGCCCTTGCTCTCAACCACTGGGGTACACGGACTACTGATACAAAATTAAATGTCAAATAAGGCACACAAAAAAAACATGTGCTTTTAGAATCATGCTATGCAGGGTGCGTGGGTGGCTCGCAGTCATTAAGCGTCTGCCTTAGACTCAGGTCATGATCCCAGGGTCCTGGGATAGAGCCCCATATCGGGCTCCCTGCTGGGTGGGAGGCCTGCTTCTCCCTCTCCCACTCTCCCTGTTTGTGTTCCTGCACTCGCTCTCTGTCAAATAAATAAATAAAATCTTAAAAAAAAAAAAGAATCATGCTATGCAAGTAATTTTTTCTTATATAGGGAAATATGAGCATTCTCTGTTTAATAAGTAGAAAAAACCTTTGCACACACACACACATATACACAAAGGTTACTCAAAGGTCTATTCTGACATTGCCACTGAAGAGTCACACAGATGAAATCTTCAACTGCCAGAAGCTGATGGTCAATTCTATGTTGACTGTGAACCCCCAGATTCAATGACTCTACCTTCTTTTACTTCCTAATGTGATCAAGTATAAAGTTAAATGACCTATGACTAAAGCTGCCAGAAATGTGCTGCAGCCACTCAAGCTATCTGAAGTAGATTATCACTACAACATGTTTTTCTCATCCTGCTTCCCTCTTTTTTCTCAACTACCTACTATTTCTTAAGCCTTTCTTAAGCTTCACCATGAGAGAAACACATCAAACTAGGGTTTTCTTCTGTTCTCTAGATGGTTGATGTGTACCAAGTGAGAAATCCAGTAAATCAATGAATGCATGCTGCTAAATATCTGCTTAACCTTGCCTGTTTCCTCATAAGTAGATTCAGACTATTCATTCTTGCGAGCACACTACATAAGTGACATTGTACCCTTTCCACTATACCACATATGAAACACATGATGTCAGTCTGTCCAACACCTTAACTTATTGATTCTTCCATTCTTTCCCCTGATCTGTTATGCCACCTGTTACATACCAAGTTTCCCCTGTGTGCGTATTTGCTAAAGAGGGTCTGTTCCATACAACTGATTTTTTTTGTTTGTTTGTTTATTCCTATACCAACATCACACTAACTTAATTCATATAACTTCAGAAGTCCTGGTATCTATACGCATGTTCTCCACTTTGGTCTACAGCTTCAAAATTGCCTCCCTTATTCTTAGACCTTGGTTCTTACATATGATATTTAGGGTCACTTCAATATGTTTTACCAAATATTCTGTATTTGATCTGGATAGTAGTTATGTGGATGTATACATACACAGAAGTTCATTCACTTAAGACTTCTGCACTTTACTCAGTAAAAAATTAAAATAAAAACTAAATAAAAATTCTACAGAAAATATGTACAGTCTTAATGAATATTTTAAAATGTGCTCAGGATTTGTTTTAATCAGGTATGGTGAGACACACAGACATGGAAATGAATGTCATGAAGAAGGAAGTTATTAAACTCACAAATCCATAGAAACAGGAGACATGACAGGCCATGCAGGGGGCCGTGCAGGGAAGCACCAGGGTTGGTCAGGAGACAGAGAAAGTTGGGAGAAAAATGTGAGCAAGAGATGTTACTGTGGTGTCTGTGGGAAGGAACAGTTAAGGCAGGGTCAGCAGGTTTAGGTTTGGTAGTATGAATAATTTCAGTGGGCTGGAGTGTAAGACTGTCCTGAGTTGTCTACTACTTGGTCCTGAAGTAATCAGGACAGGGGATTATTGGCCCTGAGTGTAAGAGCCAAAGATTGGATACAAAATATTTCAAGCACCCAAAAGGGTTTCTACCAATTTACACTCCTACTAGAAATATATGAAAATTCCAGAGGCTCCACAACTTTGCCAAAACTTGATATTGTGAGTCATTTTCATTTCAGCCACTGTGGGCCATTATGGTCCTCTTTCCTTTTGTCATCACCATTGTTTTGTTTGGTTTACTTTCTTGTAGGCAAATTTTTAACAACTGATTCAATACCTGTAATGGCTATATATCTATTCAGGTTTTCAATTTATTCTTAAATTCTGTTAAATTATATTTTGTTGAAAAATCACTTATTCAGGGGCGCCTGGGTGGCTCAGATGGTTAAGCATCTGCCTTCAGCTCAGGTCGTGATCCCGGGGTCCTAGGATCGAGCCCCACATTGGGCTCCCTGCTGAGCTGCTGCTCGCCCTGCTTGTACTGTCTAATAAAAAATAAATAAATAAAAAATCTTAAAAAAAAATTTATTCAGTCTAAGTTTTCATATTTACCATTCTAAAATGGTTCATAGTATTTGGTCTTATTTCTTAAATCATAGCTAAATCTGTAATTTAGAAGTCCCTTCTCAATCCCAATATTGCTTTTGTGCCTTGTCTCCTTGATTAATCTTATCTGATACCCATTAGTTTGGTGATTATGAAAAAAACCAGACTTAGGTTCTGATGATTCTATTGTTGTGATATTTTTTATATCACTCCATTTTAAGAGTTTTCTAATCTTTATCCTAATTTCTTCAATGCTCCATAAGTAGCAAGAAGGCTGGCTTTAAATTTCCAAACACACATGATTTCGGGGGATTACATTCTAACTTAATTGTACAACAGTCTGAGAAGGTGATATGTACAACATCAATCGTCTGGTGTTTGTTGAAACTCATAGTTTCTGGCACAGTGAGGTGAGAGATTATATATGTTCTAGAAGTGCTTGAAAGAATTTGAATTTTCATACTGTTGGGTATAGGGTTCCATATATACACACGAGATCAAGATTGTTGTCATTCAACTCTTCAACTTCTTGCTTTCTTGTTACTAATCTAATAATTCCCAGTAAATGTGTAAAAATGTTTCCTGTATGATTACAGATTTGTTCATTTCCATTTGAAATTTTACTATTAGATTCATACAAGTTTAGAATCTTTAGGGCTCCTGCTTAAGTGTTATTTAAACATTATATGTCTTTTTTTTTGAGAGAGAGAGAGAGAAAGAGATGTGTGGTGGGGAGAGGAGCAGAGGGAGAGAGAATCTTAAGCAGGCTCCACACCCAGCACAGAGCCCAACATGGGGCTGGATTTCACAACCATGAGATCATGACCTGAACAGAAATCAAGAGTCAGACACTTAACCAACTGAGCCACCCAGGTACCCCTATAAGAGTCATTTTAACTCTAGTAATGCTTGCTGCACTTAAATCTATTTTGTGTGATATTAATATAGCTATATTTACTTTGTTTTAGTGACTATTGGCCTGAAATATTTATTTTAATTCCTTTGCTTTCAATTTTTCTGTGTCCTTATATTTTGGGTATGTCTCTTATAAACAGCATAAAGCTAAACAATCTCTTCCTTTACACTAGCTTTCTAACCCATTATGATTATGATTAATCTTCTGCACCCCAAAAATGTCTTTGCAAAGGTTTCAATTTCAGAATGCCAACATCCATTCTAGATGGATGGAGCTTCAAAAAGCTCTAAAAAATTTAGATGTCGCATCTCTACCTAAAAATCTCAACTGCCTATATATGCTCTCCAGATTAAAATACAAATACTTTGGCAAAACAAAGCCATTTACAGTCTAGACCAAGCCTGTCTTTCTGTCTTGCCTCATTTCCTACACCTATCCATTTATAAGTACAAAAAACTCCCTAGTGTTCTTCAGCAGTGATGCTTTTATACTTCTATGCCTTTGCACATGTTGTCCAGAATCTGTGAAAAGTCAACACCCTACCATAAAAATTATCTCTTATTTAAGTTTTACAGAGATAACTAGTCACTCGTCCTCTGCACTTTTTCTTAGCTATATTATGAAGCTAGTCTTTGTGTATTATCATCTCACTTTTTCAAATAACCATGCACAAAATGTTTATCTAAGTAAAAATTTATCTGAATATGTCTTAATTTCAGAATATTTAACCCCACGGTTTATACTTAAAATAGCTACATTTGTTAGTGTTTGTTTATTAAGAGGCACCCTACATTTCTTTTCTCATTTAATCCTCACATAGATATAATATCATCTTGATTTAATAGATGAACAAACTGAGGCTCAAGAAGGTTAAATAGTTTGCCCAAGATAACAGAGCCACTGAGAAATAAAATCTGGTTAACTCCAAAACCTAAATATTTTCATAAAGTAATAGTGCCTTCCAAATATATACTAAAACTTGAACTAGACTAACCAAATACTGCTGGGAAAATGTTCTTCCAAACTCATTTCTTTTTTTAAGTTTTTTTTTTTTTTAAAGATTTTATTTATTTATTTGACAGAGAGAGAGACAATAAAAGAGGGAACACAGCAGCAGGAGTGGGAGAGGGAGAAGCAGGCTTCCCGCTGAGCAGGGAGCCCGATGTGGGGCTCGATCCCAGGATGCTGGGATCATGACCTGAGCCGAAGGCAGACGTTTAACGATTGAGCCACCCAGGCGCCCCATTCCAAGCTCATTTTAATGAAAAATGACTTAGGGATTTTGAGCAGTTTTTAGAAGTTTAAATGCACATGCAAACAAATATTTAACCTATTTATGACAACTTTTCAAAAAATACTTTCTTAAAAAAAAACTTTCTTCATAACCTTATTTTATCATAGTATACATTTTTTGAAAATAAAAATTTTTTTGCATTCCCACCAACAGTGTAAGAGGATACCCCTTTCTTCATATCCTTGCCCAACTGATTCAGTCACTCTGGAAAACAGTATGGAGGTGCCTCAAAAAGTTAAAAATAGAGGTTCCTGGGTGGCTCAGTCAATTAAGCATCTGACTCGTGATCTCACCTCAGGTCTTGATCTCAGGGTTGTGAGTTCAAGTCCCGTGCTGGGCTCCACACTAGGCATGGAGCCTACTTAAAAAAAAAAAAAAAAAAGTTAAAAATAGAACTATCTTATGATCCAGCAATTGCACTATTAGGTATTTACCCAAAGGATACAAAAATACTGATTTGAAGAGATACATGCACCCCAATGTTTACAGCAGCATTATCAACAATAGTCAAATTACAGAAAAAGCCCAACTGTCCATCAACTGATAAATGGATAAAGAAGATGTGGTATGTACATACAATGGAGTATTATTCAGTCATCAAAAAGAATGAAATCTTGCCACTGGCAAAGATGTGGATGGAGCTAGAGAGTATTACTCCAGATGAAATAAGTCACTCACAAAAAGACAAATACCATATGATTTCACTCATATGTGGAATTTAAGAAACAAAATAGATGAACGTGGGTGGGGTGGGGGGAGGCAAACCATAAAGCAGACTCTTAACTACAGAGAACAAACTGAGGGTTGATGGAGGGGAGGTGGGTAGGGGATGGGTTATGGGTCTTTAGGAGGGCACTTGTTGTGATGAGCACTGGCTACTGTATGTAAGTGATTAAATACTAAATTCTACACCTGAAGCTAGTATTAAACTGTATGTTAACTAACTAGAATTTAAATAAAAACTTGAAAAAGAAAAAAAATTTTTTTAAGATTTTATTTTTTATTTGAGAGAGACTGAGCATACAAGCATGCAAGTGGGGGAAGGGGCAGAGGGAGAGGGAGCGAGAGAATCTCAAGCAGGCCCCCTGCTGAGCATGGAGCTAGACGAGGGGCTCAATCTCACGACCCTGAGATCATGACCTGAACCAAAACCAAGAGTCAGATGCCTAACTGACTGAGCCACCCAGGCGCCCCAAGAAAAAAAAATTTTTTGAAGATCAAAATGCAGATTATCATTTTACCCTGTGTAAAAGCTGCTATAATTATATTATATTAGAAAATATTATTAAACTAAAAAAATTTAAATCTTTATTAGTTTAAAAGTTAATTGACATTCAGAGTTAATGGTTCCTTAGTCAAGGCTACCTACAAAACTTTATCTTAAAACATGTTTTATATAAAATAAATACTTTTGCGGGGCGCCTGGGTGACTCAGTCGGTTAAGCATCTGCCTTCGGCTCAGGTCATGATCCCAGAGTCCTGGGATCAAGCCCCGCATCGGGCTCCCTGCTCAGCGGAGAGCCTGCTTCTCTCTCTCCCTCTGCCTGCCGCTCTGTCTACTTATGCTCTCTAGCTCTCTGTCAAATAAATAAATAAGATCTTAAAAAAAAAATACTTTTGCATTACTCATGTATTCCTAAAGGAAGACCCAACTACACTTCCTCATGAATTTTATGTAGGTCATACAACTTAATTTCAGAAATAAGTAAATATCATTACACTGATTATCATTATCAGGCTTCTAATCCCAATCCAGAATGCCAGTAACATGAAATTTTTAATAGAAAATGAAAAATAATTAATAGACAAAAAGAACATTAAATTATCCTACTACTAGGTTTCTGAAATTCTTTTCACTTTAAAAATTAGCTATAATTTTAAATAGGTAATATATTTTTTTTCCATCTACAAAAACAATTTGCTTTGAAAACACATACCTCTTTCCTTGTTTACTTTGTTCAAGTAAGTCCACCTTTAACTTTATACATTCCTCTTGGGATTTCTGCAAACTCTGTTCCTTTTCAATCACCATTTTCTGGCTCTGCTCTAATTTATCTTCTGCCTCTCTATTAAATAAAGAATATATATACATATTTTAAAGATTGATTTATTGAGAGTGTGTGCGTGCATGTGCAGGCAAGTGGGGGGAGGGGCAGAGGGAGAGAAACTTCAAGCAGACTTCCTGCAGAGCCCGACAGGGGGAGGGGGTGGTGTTCATCTCACCACCCATGAGATCATGACCTGAGCAGAAACCAAGAGTCTGACGCTCAACACCCAGGTGCCCCAGTAAAGGATATTTTTAAAGGCTATTAAAGAGATTATTCCAGGTATGCAAGAATAGCTCAATATTAGGAATTCTATCACTTTAAATCACTGAGGTAAGAGAAACCAATATTTAATAAGAAATAGACAAAATTCATCCCTTGCCTACTAAGAGTCTTTATAAAGAATGAAATGATACATATATCTGAAATAACAGCTTATATCCTATTTCATAGTCAGATACTAGAAGCATAACCATAAAGTTCAGAAACTAGTTAAGGATGACTATTATCACCCCTATATCCAATGATTTCTCTAACAGTTACAAAAAGAAAAATGAAAAAGTAGTAACTAAATATCGAAAAGACAATATTTTCTTTTTTTTGCTGATAATATCATTAGCTGCCTGGAAAATCGAGGAGAATCAAAATGAAAAGTTATTAGAATAAAAGAGTATGACAAATAGTCTAATTATAAAATAATTATATTACACAAAAAGCAACAGCCTTCCTATATACCATCAATGAACAGAACATGAACAAATTCACAACAACCAAAAATATAAAATACCTAGGAATAAAATTAAAATTACATGTAATACAAAGAAAACTACAAAATTCTGATGGTCATGAAAAATGACTTTAGTGTACATGAGAATCACCTGCAGGACTTATTAAAACACAGACTACTGACCTCTTAGAATTTGTAATTCAGTAAATCTGAGATAGAACCTGACATCTACAAATTTTTAAAAAGATTTATTATTTATTTATTCTAGAAAGAGAGAGAGAGATGGGGGAGAAGGAGAGAGAATCTCAAGCAGAGATTCTCCACTGAGCGCAGAGCCCAACACAGGGCTCAATCTCACAACCAAGATCACGACCTTGAACCAAAACCAAGAGTCGGATGCTCAACTGACTATGCCAGCCAGGTGCCCCTGAGACCTACAATTTTAACAAGTTCCTAGAAGATGCTAATACTGCTGGTCCCAGAACTACACTTTGAGAATCATCAAAATGGAGTAATGGGCTATTTAGTATACATATATTTCTCATTTTACTCAAAGCAGAAGAAGGGGATAAATTATAAAGTGCCTGATTCCTTCTATTTTATTTCTTGAACTCCCACTGAAACACCAGCATGTACTACTATGTAGGGCAAGAAATGAACTAGTTCATTTTCAATAAAAGCATGTAAATAAGCATCTCAGCTAAGATTTAGTCTTTTTTAGCCCCCTTAAACTTCATGCATCCTGGAGCCAAGAGGAGGTATGATGGATTGGGGAACAGATTTCCTAAGTTCTAAGACAGTCTACAGGACACTACAGATTTACTGGGGTAGGGAACAAGATTTCACTAGATACACCAAAAAGCAAAAGAAATAAAAATTTTAAAGCCATAAAAAGTATTCTTACCTCAAAATTTTATCTTGGGCTGAAACTTCTGCTTCCAAATTTATAATCTGTTCTTCTAAGATTGGCACACTGGCTGCCTGTTGTTGAACAGATTCAAGCATAGAAACCTAAAACAAAACCAAAAAAAAAAAAAACTTTCAGAGCACTTCCTTTCAGAAGATAAATTAATCTAATTGGTCCTTTGTTTCTTTTTCTGTCTGATGAGGGTGTCCGATATAACTCCTTAATCACTGGTCAAATGTGAAGCTCACCCTATCTATTCCTTTGATCAACATTTACATGGGCGTGTCATCATCACAAGCCAGTGTCAGCGTGTAAGCTCTTGCCATTACCCTCAACTTAATATCCCAAGATAATTGATTAGCTTTTTGTGGGTGAAAAAAGAATCTCTACTGACAACATCCAAAAAGATAAATTTCACATAAATCAGAAAATTAAATATAAAAGATCAAGTCATAAAAATGTAAACAAAAAAACACCTATTGAATCTTTTTACAATTGAAGACCTTATTTTAGAATACATGCTTACTAGAAAAAACCTAGAAAATACAGAAAAGCATAAGTCCAGGAATGAAAGCCTGGAATACAGCTCAATATCTCTGTTGGTAAGTCAATACTCCTTTTCCCATTCCTAAAACACCAACAGTCAAATGATGGCCTATCAGGAAGAGATAGAAAATTTATTATCTGGAGAAACTGAACGGGAAAGGTTTAGAACTCTGGGACACTATGTATTATGATAAGCAGGGATGAAGTAGTTATAAACAAATTGATTAATATAAAACAGTCAACTTCCCACTAGTATTTCATCTCATTTAGGGCTATCCCACAGGTGGGAAATCAAAGGATTCTTTGCTGGAGAAACTCAACAGCTCCAAAGAAAAAGACTTCACATACTGATACTGGATGAAAGAGACAAGGTATCTCCCTACAAAAGAGCCATCTCCCTAGGCATCACCAACATATGAAGCTTACTGGACAACAAACTTCATCTTTGTACACAGAAGTTCTAAACAGCATTTAAGTGCCTTTCTTTTTTAAAAAAACATTTTTTTTAAGATTTGTTTATTTGAGAGAGAGTGAATGAGAGAGAGAGAGAGAGAGCACATGAGAGGGGGAAGGGTCAGAGGGAGAAGCAGGCTCTGCGCTGAGCAGGGAGCCCAATGTGGGACTCGATCCTGGGACTCCAGGATCATGACCTGAGCCAAAGGCAGTCACTTAACCAACTGAGCCACCCAGGCACCCCTAAGTTCTTTTCTCTTAAATATAAATAGCTAAAACACTAACATCTGCAAAAAAGTCCTGCTAACATAAAAGTCAGAGGCCAAAACAAAGAGGCAACTGGCAGCAAGCAAGGCAAGTATGCACACACGCATACACACACATCATTAAATCTTCAGAAAGCTAAGTGAGGACACTGCATCAGGATATTATTTAATACAAAGCAAAGAATCAGAGGACATGGGAAAGCTCTGGAAAATGAAAAAAATATGACAGCTAAAATAAGATTCAACAGAGGTGTGGATGATAGTGTTAAGAAATCTCCTAAACAGTATCACAGGAAGACAAGGAGATAGAAAACATGAGGAAAAAAAAAAAAAACCTTAATAGATTAAAAGGTTGAAAGAGTTAGAGGACCAATCGAGGTGATCTAATATTCACCTAATAGGAAAAATAGAAGAAAACGGGGGGGGCGGGGCGCCTGGGTGGCTCAGTCGTTAAGCGTCTGCCTTCGGCTCAGGTCATGATCCCGGTGTCCTGGGATGGAGACCCACATTGGGCTCCCTGCTCCGCGGGAAGCCTGCTTCTCCCTCTCCCACTCTCCCTGCTTGTGTTCCCTCTCTCACTGTGTCTCTCTCTGTCAAATAAATAAAATCTTTAAAAAAAAAAAAAAAGAAGAAGAAGAAAACAGAGGGAAGAAAATTATCCAAGAGATTGCATAAGAAAAATTTCCAGGACCAAAGAACACAAGATTCCAGCCTGAAAGGGTCCTCATGTACCTACTACACTGAATAAAAGGTCTATTCAAAGATACGTCATTCTGAAATTTTGAAACACCAAGGAAAGAGGGAAGATCCTTAAAACTACCATAAAAGGAAAAACAAATGGAAAAAAGTTACATACTAAGGAAATGGATTCACAATGGCATTGGACTTTTCAGAGAAGCAGCAGAAGATGGAAAACAAGAAAGCAATATCCTAGTAACTCTAAGGCAAAATAATTTGGGGGAGAAATGTCAGGGGAGAAATTAGGACATTTCAGATAGGCAAGGGGGTTACTAGAAAAATATGTTCCACTTAAAGGAAGACTAAACCAAGAAAGAAGATGACACAGGATCCAGGGAACAGTAGATCAAACCCAGAATATCAAAGACAAGTCCCAGGAGAGCAGCTGGACAGCAGGCCTGGAGAGCAATAAGCTTGGGAAGAGCTGAATGCCTGGCTCCAAAGTGTAACTACAAACATTGGGAAAGATAAATTATGAATATACTGGTTGATACAATGAGGAATTCCAGCACAAGATTTCCAATAGTGGTATATATGCAACAGCAAAAGCTGAGACCTGCCCTAGAAAAGGGAATCTCCCTAAAAATATTTTGTTAGGCAATGTAGAAAATGCTGAGATGGGAAGTAAAATATAAATAACTGTCCTATTGCCTAGAATAAATAACCACTGATGTGTCTATATACTAAAAGAAAGGAACAAAATGCTATCATTAGTTCAGTAGTTATTAGTAAAATTCTCTTAACATCTCTTTGCCTTTAAATAATTAAGCTTCTATGACTTCAGAAAAAATCTATAGTTGGTAGAAAAATTAAATCAATAAACAAAAAAGGTGAACAAATTACACAGCAAACAAATATACTGAAAAGGTAAATCTTGTGAGAAATCAAGAAAAACAAAATATTTTTCCCTCAAAAAAATAAAATGTTTAAAAAAAAAACCTCAGGAGAATGCAGAGTACAGTAAATTCTGGAAAAAAAAAATTCCCTGTGATTTGGTCATTCTAAAATTCTATCCTAGAAATAATCCCAAATACAAAGAAGTTTCTTGTTCACTGGAGCATTTTTTTCTCCTTAGGCTGGAATTATCTCCAATAGCACTTTGTTTTGTTTAAAACATACAGAAGAGGTGGCTCAATCGGGCAAGCGTCTGCCTTGGGCTCAGGTCATGATCCTGGGATAGAGCCCCGCAGATGACTCCCTGCTCAGTGGAGAGCCCGCTTCTCCCTCTCCCTCTGCCCCTCCTCCCTGCTCGTACTCTCTCTCGCTCACTCTCTCACTCTATCTCAAATAAAATCTTTTAAAAAATTAAAAAAAAAAAATAAAACACACAAAAGAAAAAAAAAATCTCCCATAATCCTACTACTTAAAACAATACATCTATAAAAGTAAACAGTGAAAGCCTCACCACAAGACATTCCAATCCCTCTCAAAATTAGCAACAATGTGGAGCACAGTCTTTCTGTTCTTACATATGTTACATATATCTATATACATACACACAAACATACAGACACATTTGCTCTTTTAATAAAAAGCGAAACTGGGATCACTGCCTATGTGTGTTGCTCTGTAATGTTCCTCTACCACTCAATATATTAGTGCTATATGCAGACATCGTTCTAGGTGACTTTTCACATATTATTATCATTTAAACCTTACAATGTTTCATAAAACAACCTTGCATCGCAGAATTGATATATTTACCTCAAAAAAAAAAAAAAAGCTCTGTAGCAATCCCTTGTATGGATATATCATACTTTACCATCCCTCTATTATTGGACATTTTGGTTTCTAATTTTTTGTATAATTCCAATCATACAGCAAAAAATAGGAAACCATTAGGGGTGCCTGGCTGGCTTAGTTTGTAGAGCATGCAACTCTTCATCTTGGAGTCATGAGTTTGAGTCCCATGTTGGGTGTAGAGATTACTTAAAAAAAATAAAAATAAAAATAGCCACTTAAAGAGGAGAGTTATTAATTAAATTATGGCATAATCACATAAAGGAAACAATGTTATGATAAAATGATCATCGAAAAGCTGAGTAAATGAATCAGAAAATGCTGAGACGATGTAAAAATAAAAAACACAAGAAAAAAGAAAACTATTCAAACAGTCTGGATTCAACAATGTAATAAACCAATAAAGTAGTTTCTCGTTGGTGGAAACTGGGTGATCTTTCTCCCTTTCTTTTCTATTTTCAAAGTTTTCAACAATGAGAATGTATTAGTTTAAAAAGTAAGATAAATAGGGCGCCTGGGTGGCTTAGTTGGTTAAGCAACTGCCTTCGGCTCAGATCGTGATCCTGGAGTCACGGGATCGAGTCCCACATCGGGCTCCCTGCTCAGCACGGAGTCTGCTTCTCCCTCTGACCCTCCTCCCTCTCATGCTCTCTGTCTCTCATTCTCTCTCTCGCAAATAAATAAAATCTTAAAAAAAAAAATTAAAAAAAAAAAGGAAGATAAATAAGCTGTATTTTCTTTATAAAAAGAAAATCACATAAATTTGTAATCTTAAGATTTTAAGAAGCTTTGACTTATATAAACAAACACAGTATACAATTTCTCCTAAATCATTTGCAGATTTTAAACTCATGTTAAATTGATTCCATAACATGTTGATCCTCTATTATCATAATAAAAATTATTATATATAACACATTAAGGCAATACACAGAATATATTTCCAATTATAAATCTTAAAATGATTCAAATTGCTTTTTATTGGCATAGGCACCACTTCAAGAAACATACTTTTGCTCTTGACTGTGTTAATTCAAAGTGGACAGATTCCATTTTAGTCATTAAAGAATGATTCTGTGAGACCAAACAAGCATTCTGTTGCCTGAGTTTGTTAAGTTTCTCTCGAAGATTTCTGATCTCCTGGTCCATGGGGGCAGATGAAAAAGACATCTGAAAAATGAGAAAGAGCAAGTTATTTTGGATTATTTCATTAAGCACTATATGTAATGGAAAATGATGAACAACTGTCAGTAAAATGACTAAGTAGCTCAGAAAATGAGTTAAGATATTTAGTGAGTGCTGGTGAGGATGTGTGGGACAATCAGCACTCTCCTCCACTGCTAGTGGATGTATACATAAATAAGTACAGCTTAAAAAACAATGGTACACTTTGGGAAAGTTCTTGGTATTATCCAGTAAAGTTGAAGATGCTAACACTCAACAATATTACTCCTGGGTGTAAATCTAAAACTTTTACACCTGAAAATACAAAAATATTCATACCTACTACATTTGTCCATAAGAGACAATAAATGGAAAGAATCCAAATGACCATCAACAACAAAATGGATAATGAATAAATTCTTTAAACTATATACATTTTTATCATACTTTTGAATATATATTTTATAATAAATTATTTTAATTTTCCTGAGGGTTGAGGTTTTTAAGATACGATTTTTTTTTTAAAAAGTCATATGCAATTCAGAACTCAAAACTATATAAGATACACACAGAAGCCTCATTCCCATTTTTAGTAGGTAGGTAACCATTTTTATAAGTTTTAAGATTTTATTTATTTGAGTGAGAGAGAGGGAGGGAGAGCGAGCACAAGCAGGGGGAAGGGCAGAAAAAGAGGGAGGGGGAGAAGTAGAACTCAACATGAGGCTCATGAAGCTCCATCCCAGGACCCTGAGATCATGACCAGAGCGGAAGTCATATGCTTAACTGAGCCACCCAAGCACCCCTTTAAATTTCTTATTTATAAATTTTTATATAACACCAATCATACAGCAAAAAATAGGGAATTGAAGCACCCAGGTGGCTCAGATGGTTAATCGTCTGCCTAAGGCTCAGGTCATGATCTCAGGGTCCTGGGATCGAGCCCCGTTATCAGGCTCCCTGCTTAGCCAGGAGTCTCCCACTCCCCCTGCTTGTGCTCTCTCTCTCTCAAATAAATAAATAAAATCCTAAAAAAAAAAAAAAAGGGAACCTGCCTATATAGGGAAGCTAAGTTATGGTCTTCAACACAGTCTTCTAGTGTTTCCACTTTCATTTGCAAGCAATACAAATTACCCACCCTCACAGTGACTTATGCAAAAACTAGCATTCTATGTCATTCTATACCTTGCATTTTTTTCTTAAATATATCCTGCCAATCTCTCCACAATCAATATAGTTAGAAACTCCTATTCTTTCATCTCCCCACCTCAGCTGCAGTTTCCACTGCATGTTTATTCAACCAATCCCCTACTGATAGGCACTTGAGGTATTTCTAACCTGTTAAGACAAACAAAGCCTCATTTTGTACTCATGCAGGCATACCTGTCATGTTTTCTTCTACAAGAGGGATTTCCATGTCAAGGGTAAACGCGTTTGTGATTTGGGGAAACATTACCAAATGCCCCTCCATATGGGGTTGTATCATTTTGCACTGCCACCAGCAATGTATGAGAATGCCCATCTCCTCCTAATTTCACCAATAAAATAGTGTCAAATGTATGATAGGTACAAATTGGTACCTAAGTATAGTTTCATTGTGAATTTCTCTTATTATGAATGAGACTGAACACCTTTTTATTTGTTTGAAGATCATTTTAATTTCCTCTTTCACACATGTCTTTTGTCCATTTTTCTACTGGGTTGTTGATCTTCTTCCTAGAAGCTCTTCCCATATTAGATATTAGCTCTTTGTCTTTAATAGGCTTTACCAATATTTTCCCCTCCAATTTGTCATTAGTCTTTTGATTTTGTTTAGGGTAAAACACAATGATTTCAATTAAAACATACATGTAACAAAAATGATCAGCAATTTGAGTTAGGATACAGGTCAAATTTCCCAGAATTACACAATCTTTGTAGAAATGAAATTTGAATTTATTTTCTAAATTGCAGGCACACATAGCTACATTAACATAGCTACATTAAGCAGCTTCCTTACAAAAAGAAAACCTCTCAATTGTTAGCTTTCTGAAGTGGGAAGAGCACATTTTTATGAAAGAAGATTATGATGTGCATATGCAACCATATGCAGGCATGCATGCTGGTGGTGAGGTAATAAAGAATAGGAAGAAGAGAGCAGAAAGGGAGATTAAAGAGCTGAGTAAGGAAGAAAGGTAAACACAACAAGGTAGATAATAGGACGGAATAAAAAAGACAGAAGGAGAAAATTCCAGACCAGTAAAGATGTCTAAGATCATCCAGAAAATTTAGGGATAATGAAAAAAGAACAGTGCCATGCCATCATATAGCACTTGATCCAGGCTAAATATACTAAATACATTTTAACCACTTAATAACTGATTACCTATTACGTATAGTGCCCAAAATCACAGGGGTTACAATTTACTTGGGGAAAGCAAGACATTTAATTGCAAAAAGGTAATAAATATAGAAGTTTAAAAATAGAGTAATACACTAAAGCAACTACTTTCTTGTGAGGACACAACAAGAACCATAATATTTAAATTCAAGAGTCTTAAGCACAATGGTAAAAGACTACGGAAAACATAAACAGGCATTTAAAGAAAAAACTCAAAGAAAAAGTATTTTAAGTAGACAGGTCTGAAACTAAAGCTACTTTTAAGTAGACAGGTCTAAAAACAATAACCTTATCTCTTGGCTTCTTTTGAAAATCAGTACTGCCAGTGGGCATTTTACAAACTTTTTTATAAGGTACGTAATTCAAAAGTCCAAGCTGGTTAGGATGAGAAAGATCTTCCAGAATGAGTTTTTCAGATCTTGAAAGATTAGAGGCATAATCGGAATTTTCACTTGGACTAACACTAGAGAAAAAATAAAAATACATTTTAGTTCCTAATTTAAGTATTCACTCCAAATTTCTATACATTAAATAAGAAAACAGAAAGAAAAGCACCTGAAGTTCTGCTGGAAATCACATTCAGTTATGAACTTAAGGCAATGTTTCAACTAAATTTCTTAATAAATTGTAATGAGTTTTAAACTAATAATCTGTTAGTTAGAAAGAGACTCTATGGTAGGATTACTTAAGATTCAAAAAACAGTCATAATAAAAGATTAAGCCCAAACATATATTTTATACTGAGTCCTAGATAGCAAAGGTGTTTACTTAATGTATAAACATTAATGTATAACACTTCTCTAACATTTCTATTTTTTTCCTAAACCAAGAATTACATTAAAAATTACAGATTATTTCGTATTCTATTCTATTAGAAACACAATATATAATAATGAAATCCATACATTTTACATTCATAAAGTCATATTCTGAAGTCCATATGTGATTTTACTTACATACCTGGATAGCTCTTTCCCTAAACTCTGCAAACTCCATTCCGTTATCTTCAGTTCATGTCTTAAGGAAGCAACATTTGCAAGCAAACTTTCTTCTTCATTGTCTTTATTACAGTAGTCTGATGAACTAGATTCCATTTCTTAAAAAAAGAAGTGTATTTCTTGTACCTTGCCAGAAAGAATCTGTGGTGTCAAAATACTCTCACATTAATAGAATTTAACTCATTATTTTTCTATTTATCTCAAATGTTGCGCAATCTTTCATGGTAATTTAAGACAAAACAAAACAAAAACCCAGTAACAATGAATTTCTCTGCAGTGTAAAGCCAAGGAAATAGAAAGTTCAATAGTTCTCCCTTTTCTAAGCACATTTAATCTTTCTAACAATAGTGCACATTAAATATTGTTATTCCATGTTAAAGTTAAAACAAACTAAGAATAAGGCAAATTAAAGAATTTGCTCAAGGTCACAAAAACTGTAGATGGTGGAAACAAGATTTGAACCTAAGTCATCAGGATCCAAAGACCTTTTAATTATGTCACACTGCAATTTCTAACTTACAGATCAATTTCAAGATGAGCTTTTGAACTTACATACTCAAGTTACAAGCTCTGGAAATCTGATAAAATTGGTATCATTACAGTCACTCATATTTCCTTAATGGCGATTTATTACCAAATAAAGGTTATCTCCTCCTCCCATTCACAATAGTTATAAAATTTAAAAAACACACACCTTCACATCGCAACCATAGAGATCAAAATGGCATTTGGCAAGTTAACTCAGAAATACATGAAGAAAAGTTTTTCTTTCTTCAACTGATGAGTATCTCTAGAGTTGTGAAATTCTCTACTAAATAACCTTTACACATAAAAATCGTGATAAAGGGCCACATTTTATTATTAATAATTAACACATATAATCATTATGTATTAAAATACAAATTAAGGGGCGCCTGGGTGGCTCAGTTGGTTAGACGACTGCCTTCGGCTCAGGTCATGATCCTGGAGTCCCTGGATCGAGTCCCGCATCGGGCTTCCTGCTCGGCAGGGAGTCTGCTTCTCCCTCTGAC